CATATTAAAATCATATAAAATTTTTTATTAATTCTTTATAAACAGGATTTTCGAAATTTGGAAAAAAAGTACCAAAATTACACGCGTTAACATACGCGTGGGCAGCAATGAAATTTCAATGTATCCTGACGGCTGTGAAGTTAGTCCTCTCACTTTTTTCGAATGTACATCTTTATTAAACAAATACAGTTGACGTCTTAATGTTATTTATAATATGTCGTTATAGATAGTATTTAATTTTCCTAGCCTGTGCAGCGTGTATATGCGGCCGCGCGTGTTATGTGGTGTGAACGTGTATGTATGTGTATGTATGTAATGTATGTATGTCGTGTTTTCACTGTGTAATACAGTACTATTGCTAATATTTCTCTTGTCGAACGATTCTCAGTTGCAGAATATAACAAGGTAATTTGACGTTTCTGTGCGTCGCGGTGCAGACGCGCCGAGTAACTCAGTGTGTCACATGGTTTTGTAAATCAAAGACTTCTGTGGTTTATAATCCATTCTTTTTTTCTTTTTTTGCTTTCCGCCTTAGCCATAATTCACGTCAGTTTACGACGTACGAAACTGTGCTTAGCGTACAGATAGGTATCAGTATTAATAATTAAATTCCTTAACGGTACTATATCGTTACTTAACCTTATTAGTTAACACACAATCAATCTGCGACGGGAGGGAATTTTAGTCGGTCCGTAACGTCTTTTGTTTACGGCCTAGCTATATAGTCGGTATAGTTGATTATTTAAATTCATTACACAACGTCACCGTAGGATTTGGTATTTTATTTCCTCTTTTCCTTTTTTTTTTCTCTCCTTTTCTTCGATTTCACACCTCGAACGTTGGAATTATTTCAATTACGCGACAGAGGACACGTACCTTACGCACGTCATTTCTGTGGCCTTGTTTTCTTCTTTTCAATCGAGAGTATACGTACAGTACGTTTGTATACGAATTACAGAGGCGAGAGCGTACTATTGTGTTTATCTGCCGTGCGCCCAAGTGCTCTAACGAATTCGGACCAAGCGTTTCATTCAGGAAACAAATGATTCACATGATCTTTTCAATTATCGCGAATTAGGTACCCCTGAATTGCCGCTACTTGGGCCGGTGTAAAATTGAAAATATTCTGCTGACTATTTAGGCGAACGGTACGTGTAAATGTCGAAGAGTATGTATATTTATATACGTAAACATACATACACGGATACATGTGCATATGTATACGTACACTAGCTGCCTACAAAATACAATAATACATTACAAATTCATACCTTCTTTTCTCTGTGTTTGTGTCCGTATGTACGTATGTATGTATGTGTGTGTTTCTCTTTTTCTTCTTCTTCCTCATCGTCCTTTCATCTCTTAAATCATCATTTGTAAACAGCTTATTAGATATATTTTTTTTTTTATGTATAATATATATTATAATAGTATCATCTAGTTGGTTTTTTGTTCTGCGTAGTTCCTTTCTTTTCCTTTTTTTCTCTCTTCACTCCATACAATTAATATAATTAAGTACATCTTTAGAGCAGGCGTGTACACCCTATAGTTAGGTTGCAATGGTGTCGTTCTCTCTCTCTTAAGAATCTTCGCTAGCAGCCGAGAAAAACGAGTCTTCTTTTTCTGACCAATATGTATATATATGTATATACATATATACGTATATGTACTCATATCTTGTTTCAAACGGCTCGTTAGACCGGGTAACAAAAGAATGCTTCCTTCCTGTGTGTACTACAGTCGTGTCGACAAGGATCATCGACTTTTCTCGCACAGAATGCATCGTGATTTCGGACTTTTCCTCTGACGATTCTCTGAAACGCTTCGAAAGCCAGCATATTTGTTCTGTCTTCTTTTTGTGCAGTTGTCAGATTTTAATACTTATGCCGGGTAAAAAGACTGAAGAAAGGGTCTGGAGAAGGGGGAGAATAGTTTTGCGTTGTGTTGTGCGATCTCGAAGAATTCTTTAGTTTTTTTTTTCTCTCTCTCTTATGGTTGCGACGAAATTCCACGATCTCTAATGTACGTGCGTGTGTATACATGTGTGTACGTGTGTGTGTGTGTGTTTATAGAATACGTAGTCCCATAAAAAGAGGTTGGAATTCGTTCTTTCTTTCTTCTTTTTTTTTTTTTCTTCCAAATAGGTAGGGTCGTTTTTCCCCGATGTATATTATTACACACTGTACACAAGTGTGAATACGTGTATTAGATCGATAATTGTATCTTTTTTTTCTTTTTTTCTTTTTCGAGACTTAACCGCGCGTTCGCAGTACATACACTACGAATCGAGCATGTAAAAATTAAACGAGAGACTTAGAATTTGTGACAGCATCGTTATGGTTGGTCTATTCAACGCGAAACTTGCGAAGGAATTAATAAGAAGTGCGCGCATACACGTGTGCCGCATGTGCGCTCTTACGAAAGAAGAAAAATTATCAAAAGAAACAAACAGCCAGGCGTGTGTTGAAATTTTTCTCATTTAGTTTCCTTCCCCCCGCTTCACACGTTTAATCAGCGACCGTTAGTTTTTTTTTTCCTTTTCTCCCTTCACGACACCTCTCGGTGGCGTGTCGTCGTTTCTATTAGATCTTCCTCGATCAGAGCTTCTTATTTTTTTTTCTTTTCTTTTTTTTACCGAAAGGAAAGAGAAAAGAGAGAGAAAGAAAGAAAGAGTCATGCACGAAGAGATAACGCGATTGTGTTAATCCTTTGTGAATGTGAAAAATGCGAGACAAGCGAAAATGAAAGGATATATATATATACACATATATATTTTGGAAAAAAATAAAAAATGAGGAAACAAGCGTGAGAAAAACGTAAAATCGCGATTTATGGCAAGTTAACATCACACGATAGCGGGGACTCGCTATGTAGGAGCTCTTTACAGAAAAGTTTTCAAACTTCCGACAAATCTCTTATAAAAATGATATGATATGCTCGTTGGAAAAATAAATTGTTCATATAGTTTCTATGAATATAGATATCCGTACACAAACTTTCAGTACTAAATATTTCGATTCGGTCGGTATAACTCTAGAATACATAAATACATACACAAGATCCTTTCATTACTTCGTAGCGAGTATCGATGCGCAGTCATATACGAGATCATTCGTCGTTTAATTAAATACCCTGCGGATCATTGCACGTACAAGCCATTCATTCTATGACAAACGAATCTCGCACGTTCAACGAGCGATTTTTCTTCTTTTTTTTTTTAACAATCTCTCTTCACGTTTCTTACGTAAAGCTTTCTTCCCCCACCCCTGGTTTTTTGGTAAATGTTTCTCTC